CCCCCCCACACCACCTCTGTATATGATTTATCTGTCACTTTGCTGTCACTTTTTTTTTATATTTTTATATTTTATTTTATTTTTGTCCTCAAAGGTAATTTGCATGCTTTGGCTGGACTTCTTTTCTGGGAAGATCTGCAGAACCTTATTCTTCTTTTTCTCGTTTGCCATAAATCTCATTTTCTCTTTTTGTTTTATCCCCCCATCTCTACCTACTTCCTCCTCCTTCCTTCATTCCATTTCTCAACATTGCCCTCCGCAGCCAGGCTATGTAAGAGACTTGGTAAGTGGCAATCTTCAGAACAAAGCTGCATTTTTTTTTTTTGTAGTCTGTTGCCTTTTTTTTTTTTTATACCCCATTACCATTTGTTTATATTAAAGGGAAACTCCACGCAAAAGCAAACTGGCCTCCCTGTTTTTGTAAATTCATTTAAATTGCTTTTTTGTCATGGCGGATGACTTTAATCGCTCACCGTCCATCCAGAGTGATTTGTGCACATGAATTATAACATGATAATATCTGAGTTTGTGTCGAGAAAACAGCTTAACCCCCCTCCCCCAAACAATTACATTCACCGGCCACTTTTATTGGGTACACCTTGCTGGTAATGGGTTGGACTTCCTTTTGCCTTCATTCTTCGTGGCATAGATTCAACAAGGTGATGGAAACATTCCTAGGAGATTTTTGTCCATATTGACATGATAGCATCACAGGCCCAAAGTGTGCCAAGAAAATATCCCCCACGCCATTACACCACCACCAGCCTGAACCGTTGATACGAGGCAGGATGGATCCATGCTTGTTTACTCCAAATTCTGACCCCACCATCCGAATGTCGCAGCTGAAATGGAGATTCATCAGACCAGGCGACGTTTTTCCAATCTTCTATTGTCCAATTTTGGTGACCCTATGCGAATTGTAGCCTCCGTTTCCTGTTCTTAGCTGACAGGAGCGGCACCCGGTGTGGTCTTCTGCTGCTGTAGCCCATCTGCTTCAAGGTTGGGCATGTTGTGTGTTCAGAGATTGTATTCTGCATACCTCGGATGTAACGAGGGGTTATTTGCGTTACAATTGCCTTTCTGTCATCTCAAAGCAGTCTGCCCATTCTCCTCTGACCTCTGACATCAACAAGGCATTTTCGTCCACACAACTGCCGCTCACTGGATATTTTCTCATTTTGGGACCATTCTCTGTAAACCCGAGAGATGGTTGTGTGTGAAAATCCCAGTAAATCAGCAGTTTTTGAAATACTCAGACCAGCCCATCTGGCCTCAAGATCCATGCCACGTTCAAAGTCACTTAAATCCCCTTTCTCCCCCATTCTGATGCTCAGTTTGAACTTCAGCAAGTCGTCTTCACCACGTCTAAATGCATTGAGTTGCTGCCATGTGATCGGCTGATTAGCAATTTGTGTTACCAAGCAATTGAACAGGTGTACCTAATAAAGTGGCCGGTGAGTGTCTATATTTTCTGAAAGCAGAGGCCCCGTAGAATAAGAAAATGCCAGTTTAAATTTTTCATATCACACGATTTTTGCACAAATGTTTATCAAACCACCATTTTTAGTATGAACTACATTAAAATGAATGTTAGTGCACAGAAACAGAATATAATACCCTAATTTTTTGGTGAAATATAAAATACGGGGTCACATCGGGTAAATGGATGCCAATCATGTTAAGGCATAAAATTGCGTGGCCCCATGAAATCGCAAAAAACTATAATACCCAAAATCGGCCATAGGTGACGCTATAAAAGCTTATACCATTCATCAGTTAAATGTTAACAGTGATTTGGTGGCGTGACGCGTGTTTGCTTTTGTGTGTATGTGGGGGCACAGGACATTTTTATTTTTTTTTATTTTATATGCAACTTTATTTTTTTAAAGGAGAACTATGGGGGTCAGGGCTTTTCCCCCATAGTTCTCCTTAGGGTAGCGAGAGGACACAAACTAGCGTCCTCCCGTTACCCTAAGCTCAGTATACCGCAAGCTACAGCTCGCGGTATACTGAGACGCCAGAGCGGATCTCGACATCGATGTCGAGATCCGCCCAGCTGCGTGAGTGACAGCTGGCTCTGCCTATCTAGAGGCAGAGCCAGCTGTACCCGCCCGTTCCGCCAGTCAGCGCTGGCGTATCGGAGCGCGGGGGGGAATCCAGCCCCTTCACTGTCACGGCAGAGAGACGTGACAGGATCGAGAGGTGAGCGAACGCCGGTATATGTTCGCTCACCTCCCGATCTACTGAGCCGACCTGTGACAGTCTCATTGTCACAGGTCGGCTAGAACTATGAGGTGAGTGAGAATCACTCACCTCATAGTTCTCCTTTAAGGCATGATAACATGTCGATGAGAGGGTGAGGAACCAGGGAAAATACAAAGGCAGATTAAACTACAGTTTTCGGGCCCAGGCACACCGGATGCTTTGGGGCTGTGCTGGCAATTTTTTTTTTTCAGTGCAGCCGCAATGCCAGAAAAAGAAATTGACTTTGCTCCAGATGACACGCAGTGTTTTGCGCTGAAAAGATACGGCAGTACTTTTTTTTTTTTTCATTGCGATGCGCTATAACCACATCACACTGTGATTTCAATAAAGTTCTAACAACAAAAAAACTAAACCGTGCAATGCATCGCCATCAGCAGTGTTCCAGGCACACGCACACCAGCCGCCATGGGGTATAGCGCGGCTGTTGGTGCGAATGGGCCCTAAAGTGGCTTTGTTTTGTTAAATAATTGTCAGGCGGTCAGTCTGATGGCAGAATACAGTAGTAAAGCTCTGAGGGCTGGCATGCAAGAGTGCTGCCTAGAGAGTGGGATATCCATTGGCAAGCACTTGTGTGCGGAATGCGTGTCATCTGCTAGCGCAAGTATGGATGTATTGACCCATCTTTATGATTTGGAATGTGCGCAATGCCACGTTTGGTTCTTCTCTATGAGGGCATTATTTCATATACTGCTGGAACACAAATCCAAACATTAAAGGGAAATCTTACAAAAGAGAAAAGAATCTATATAGAGCTGGCCGCAGACATGAGAGGGTGGTTGGAGATCCGACTGCCACATAATCGGTTGTGGCAGAACCACGTACGATCATTTTGGCCAGTCATACATGCAATTTTAATATTTCATTGTAGCCAGCAGTCTTCTCTATATAAGAATGTTTGTGTTGTAGCAGTTCAGTCTTATAACCTGTGCCCTGTGTATTTTATAAATAAAAAGCAGGTTAATTTCTTTTAGTGTACACTGCATATGGTTTCAGTCCCCTTCCTCTGCTTTTATGCTTTAGGCCCCTTTTACATGGGCTGATGAGGCTGGAATCTGTGCACGGATCCCCTCCTGATGAGAGCAGGAGGGAGCGGATGCAACTGTTGTGACATCCCTGTCCATCCAGGTTTTTTCCTCCGTTGCAGTGGAGGGAAAAACTGAAATTGCCAGACCCCATGTCTGTGTATGGGGAATTGGATGTATCCATTTGTCCGTATACATCAGGTTACCCTTGACCCGGCACGATAAGGTCCACCAAAACCTATGATCTGTTTGGTTTTTCGGACCTAGCCGGAGTGTAAACAGAGGCTGATCTGTTTACACACAGCTGCCCATAGACTTACATTGGGCATCCGATCGGGTCCACTTGAAAAGGGCATCCGATCGGACCAGCCGTGTGAAAGGGGCTTTAGGTTTTGCTAGACCCTGAAAGCCAGTTCTACTGTTTTTTATATTCTTGCTTTTTTTTTAACCTATTTCTTCATGTTTCGCAGCTAAGTCTTTATTTTTCCTCTTCAGATCACAGCCCGAATTCTGGAAGCTCATCAGAATGTCGCCCAGATGAGTCTAATAGAAGCAAAAATGAGGTTTATTCAAGCTTGGCAATCCCTGCCTGAGTTTGGCATCACCCATTTCATTGCCAGGTCAGTTTTTATTGCAGTAGTGATTTGTGAGCCGTAACCATCAGTGTGGGTATGATCTTTAGGGCTGGTGCCAGTCGCAGCACTACTGTTCTTGAGCGTTATATGAAAGATCACATCCCCGGCATCCCTGCTGACAATTGGGTGTTGCAGTCTGCTGATCAGCTGCTTGATTACACACTAATGAAGTATAATCAACAGTTTGCACAGCTAAAGTCTGCAGCACCCAGTAGCTAGATGGTATGCATGTGTAAAGGGATGCCAGGGATCTGATGTTTGCTCGAAAACAGCAGTGCACTGACTGGTGCCAGCTCCAAAGATCATGCCCACACTGGTGCCAGGGTTTTTTAATATAACTCTCAAAGCGTGGTACTGTTGCGTTTACAGGAGCCTGACAGCCACTCCCACCAAACCTGATCTTGCTACAGCAAAAAGACCCTTAGATGATGTCACTGTGTCTCAAAAGAGACATTTCTTGATTGAAAAATGTAACTGCAAGTTGATCAGGGTGAGGAGGGAAGGGGGGGCAGAGGAAGATATTGTATGTTTGCATTACACTTAGCTTTAACTTGCACTTAAAATTTATTTTTAATACACTTTATTTAGACTGTAAAGAATTGTGTTTCAGCTTTACCACAACTCCAAAAATTAAAAAAAAAAAAGAATCACCATGAAGATGGGATAAAAAAAAAACTGGGGAGTGGATGTTGCCGGTGGATACATAATACAAACCGAAAAGAAGTGAAAAGTATCCATTAGTATCCACCATGATGGGAAAAAAAACATACATTCACTCCAAATATCAAAGGACAACTTAATTTTAGTGAAGTTGGCTTTTTAAAGTTAACCTCGTCCGCCCC